ATAATTAAGAGTTCTAAACATAAGTTACAATTATTTCAATGCTGAATCTGATAAGTGTGGATGTTCAATGGACTTATAGACGGTAAGTGCAAGTGGTTTACCTGCTCTACTATATACAATAATCTATGGCAAATCATATGGTGTCATTTGAACGATGATAACTCAAAACAAAAGTTGGCAAATGAAAACAATGATAGAATAGCACAGAACGGAACATAACAGCAACTGAACTCTCGTTGTCATTTCGTCAGTTTTCAAAATAAAAGCCTACCATAATCATTTTGAGCTGCCTTATTGCTAAGCGGCTGCATCAGATACAGCGGCTGCGGCGGCTGCTGTTGGGGCGCGCCCAGACTATGGGAGAGTTCCCAGTTATAAAAGTGCCTTTGAGGCTGCGGTTGCTGCAACTGCGACTGCCGCTGCTTGAGTCGCAATAGCTGGCTCTTATATGTATTCTCGTCAGAGTGAGGTTGCTGTTGGTTTCTGGGCCTGGTGCTGGGGTCGTCATCGTACTGTCCTTGCAATCTAGCCTCCAAATGTCAGACATGTGGTTTATGGCGAGCTCCGCAGAGGCCGCACTGTATGCCCATCCAATGGCATGCGCGCAACGGCGGATAGCACCATAGGCAGGGAACGAATAGGGACAACAGCGCCAGGCCCAACCAGCGCTTGGTGCACCCCGCTTCGCTAACGCTACAATCACAAGGATGCTGTGCGGTCTCACCCTCTGCATCGCTCATACAGTGATAGATCATACAGCGTGCACAGCCCATGCCCGAGATGCACTCGTACCCGCTGCGAAACGGATCTGGTGCATATTCGCATGCGCCACGCCTATTGAAATCCTCGCTGTACAGCTCGTGACAGTAGCGGCAACGCAGGCGCGTCTCCTTCTTGAGTATATCCGATACATTGGGTTTGTGCAGCGGCTTATTGGCTCCTCCCGCGGCCGATGTCTGTGCAGCGGCCATTGCCTGTGCCGCCTCCAAAGCATTGCGCTTCTTCAATGCACTGATTGACTCGCGTCGTGCATTCAGCACCTGGGCGCCAACTGGCTGATCCACAACCGGATAGTTGTAGTCATGGTGGACAGCCGTCAGCGTTACATACGAGTAATTCTCGCTGGGCGCTATCTGACCTGCAGGTGGAGGCGGCGGCGGCGGCCCATCTGTGGAGCCGCCAATGTTCCCAATATTGCCGCTGCCAGAGCCCGGAGCCGTTGATGTTTTATCCGTCGATATGTAGTGTATGGTAGCCGCTGGTAGTTTCTCGGAATCGGAATTGTTGCTGTAGCTATCCTTATGGCGCTCGCTGACGCTTTCTGTGGGACAATAGAGATAGATTAGTTTCATATAAGCAAATGAAAGAACTTTTTAATTTAATTACTGTGACTTTTTTCGCTGCCTTCGGGGCTTGAATGTATCTTTTGTAAACTTTCGCTTTCCACAGGTAAGTCCAGGGTCTGTAAATTGTGTAATTTTAGCAAAGACTTCCCATTTGGTTCTCTGAACATTTTCCAACTCACCATGAATACATCATCTTCACCAACCGAATCATATTTGGTCAATGGTGGGCATATTATAGTGGGATTAGATTTCGCCAGTCCTATATATATATATATATATATATGTGAAGAAATTGATTAGTTATATCAAATGAACGTTAGCCCAGCAAACACTAATTTCAGTACAAGATATAAAGCAAATCAAATATGAAGCATTAAGAGAGCATTGTCAATTTTTAGCTGAAGAAAAGCATATTAAAGTACACAGAGTTGAGAGAGTGTGTTTAAGCAATTGTAGTTTACAGAAATTTCATTTACTAAATGTTTTTCATTGGTGTAAACTAGTTAAAAGAAAAAAAAAAAAAATAGAAATGAAATAAAATACTACGGATTTGCTATAAAACTGGTTTGCGCTGCAATTTTTGAGAAACTTTGAGGAGAAATACATACTTTAAGTTTGATATATAAACTATTATAAATCAGTTTTCATAATATACGAAAAGTGTTCAAAATATATCGTAAATTTTTTGCTAAAAGTCTATTTTGTTCTTGCTTTGCATATTTAGGGAAATTCTAAACAGAAATATATGTAGTATATCTAAAATAAATAATTTTTAAGCTTTGCAGGAAGTTAATACAAATTGTACATCAAAATAGTTTTTTTTTTTGTGTTACTTATAAAAATGCAGCGCACACACTTGTTTAAAAAAGAAACCTCCTTGAACACTTACCAATTTTGTTTTAAAATTATATATTTTTTGTTAATTTTGTTTAATGATTGTTTTAATTTTGAAACAAATTTCACAATTCCAATAAAATTTTGTATTTTTTGTTTGTTTGTAATTTTGTAGCAAGTTTTTTTTTTTTTTTTTAAAGAAGAGCATAAAACATTTATTTTGTATTAGTTAATGAAGGCGAAAAATTCTAAATGCAACGTCTAAAGGAGAGGTGTAATTTAGCCAAGGTTTGTGTGAGTGTGCGCATGTGTGTGTATGTGTATGTGTGATAAAGAGATATAAATTATAAACGTTATATATGCATAGGTAAAAGAAGCGAGAGATATATTGATTGTGTTTTTTATTTTTTTTTTCGTTTTGA